CATCTATTATTCTTTCTTTATATTTTCATCTATTCTTTCTTTTATATTTTCATCTATTCTTTCTTTATATTTTCATCTATTATTCTTTCTTTATATTTTCATCTATTATTCTTTTCTTTATATTTTCATCTATTATTCTTTCTTTTATTTTCATCTATTATTCTTTCTTTATATTTTCATCTATTATTCTTTCTTTATATTTTCATCTATTATTCTTTCTTTATAATTTCATCTACTATTCTTTTCTTTATATTTTCATCTATTATTCTTTCTTTATATTTTTTCATCTTATTATTCTTTTTCTTTATCTACTATTCTTTCTTTATATTTTTCATCTATTTCTTTCTTTATTTTCATCTTATTCTTTTCTTTATATTTTCATCTATTATTCTTTCTTTATAATTTCATCTATTATTTCTTTCTTTATATTTTCATCTATTATTCTTTCTTTATATTTTCATCTATTATTCTTTCTTTATATTTTTCATCTATTATTCTTTCTTTATACTTTCATCTATTATTCTTTCTTTTATATTTTCATCTACTATTCTTTCTTTATACTTTCATCTATTATTCTTTCTTTATTCTTTCATCTATTATTCTTTCTTTATATTTTCATCTATTATTCTTTCTTTATATTTTTTCATCTATTATTCTTTCTTTTATTTTTCATCTATTATTCTTTCTTTTTATTTTCATCTATTATTCTTTCTTTTATATTTTTCATCTATTATTCTTTCTTTATATTTTCATCTATTATTCTTTTTTATATTTTCATCTATTTCTTTCTTTTATATTTTTCATCTATTATTCTTTCTTTTATATTTTCATCTATTATTCTTTCTTTTATAATTTCATCTATTATTCTTTCTTTATATTTTCATCTATTATTCTTTTCTTTATATTTCATCTATTATTTTTTTATAGTTTATCTACTATTCTTTTCTTTATATTTTCATCTATTATTCTTTCTTTATAATTTCATCTACTATTCTTTCTTTATATTTTTTCATCTTTCATTTATTATTCTTTCTTTATATTTTCATCTATTATTCTTTCTTTATACTTTCATTTATTATTCTTTCTTTATAATTTGATCATTATTCTTTCTTTATACTTTCATCTATTATTCTTTCTTTTATTTCATCTATTATTCTTTCTTTTATACTTTCATTTATTATTCTTTTTTTATAATTCATCTACTATTCTTTCTTTATATTTTCATCTATTATTCTTTCTTTTACTTTTATTATTCTTTCTTTTATAATTTGATCTACTATTCTTTCTTTATATTTTTCATCTATTATTCTTTCTTTTACTTTCATCTATTATTCTTTCTTTATATTTTCATTTCTTTATTTTCTTTATTCTTTCTTTATATTTTCATCTATTATTCTTTCTTTATATTTTCATCTATTATTCTTTCTTTATATTTTCATCTATTATTCTTTCTTTTATTTTATATTATTCTTTCATCTATTATTCTTTCTTTATAATTTCATCTATTATTCTTTCTTTATACTTTCATCTATTATTCTTTCTTTATATTTTCATCTACTATTCTTTTTTTTTTATATTTTCATCTATTATTCTTTCTTTATATTTTCATCTATTATTCTATTTTCTTTATAATTTCATCTATTATTCTTTCTTTATATTTTCATCTATTATTCTTTCATTTATCTACTATTCTTTCTTTATATTTTTCATCTATTATTCTTTCTTTATATTTTCATCTATTATTCTTTTTCTTTATATTTTCATCTATTATTCTTTCTTTATAATTTGATCTACTATTCTTTTCTTTTATATTTTCATCTATTATTCTTTCTTTATATTTTCATCTATTATTCTTTCTTTATAATTTATTCTATTCTTTCTTTATATTTTCATCTATTATTCTTTCTTTTATATTTTCATCTATTATTCTTTCTTTTATATTTTCATCTATTATTCTTTCTTTATAATTTGATCTATTATTCTTTCTTTTATATTTTCATCTATTATTCTTTCTTTATATTTTTTCATCTTTATTCTTTCTTTATAATTTCATCTATTCTTTCTTTTTATTTTCATCTATTATTCTTTCTTTATATTTTCATCTATTATTCTTTCTTTATATTTTCATCTATTATTCTTTCTTTATATTTTCATCTATTATTCTTTTTTCTTTCTATTATTTTTATTTTTCTTTTCTTTCTTTTAATTTGATCTACTATTCTTTCTTTATATTTTCATCTATTATTCTTTCTTTATATTTTCATCTATTATTCTTTCTTTATATTTTCATCTATTATTCTTTCTTTTATATTTTCATCTATTATTCTTTCTTTTATATTTTCATCTATTATTCTTTCTTTTATACTTTTTCATATTATTCTTTCTTTATATTTTCATCTATTATTCTTTCTTTTATATTTTCATCTATTATTCTTTCTTTATATTTTTCTATCTATTCTTTTCTTTCTTTATATTATTCTTTTTTATCTTTCATCTATTCTTTCTTTTATACTTTCATCTATTATTCTTTCTTTATACTTTCATCTATTATTCTTTCTTTTTATTTTCATCTATTATACTTTCTTTATATTTTCATCTATTATTCTTTCTTTATACTTTCATCTATTATTCTTTCTTTAGAGTTTAATCTACTATTCTTTCTTTATATTTTCATCTATTATTCTTTCTTTATATTTTCATCTATTATTTTTTCTTTATAATTTGATCTACTATTCTTTCTTTATATTTTCATCTATTATTCTTTCTTTATACTTTCATCTATTATTCTTTCTTTATACTTTCATCTATTATTCTTTCTTTATAGTTTGATCTTTATTCTTTTCTTTATATTTGATCACTATTCTTTTCTTTATATTTTCATCTATTATTCTTTCTTTATAATTTGATCTATTATTCTTTCTTTATACTTTCATTTATTATTCTTTCTTTATACTTTCATCTATTATTCTTTCTTTATATTTTCATCTATTATTCTTTCTTTATATTTTCATCTATTATTCTTTCTTTATACTTTCATTTATTATTCTTTCTTTATAATTTCATCTATTATTCTTTCTTTTATATTTTCATCTACTATTCTTTCTTTATATTTTCATCTATTATTCTTTCTTTTATATTTTCATCTATTATTCTTTCTTTATATTTTCATCTATTATTCTTTTCTTTATATTTTCATCTATTATTCTTTTTTTTTATACTTTCATCTATTATTCTTTCTTTATAATTTCATCTATTATTCTTTCTTTATATTTTCATCTATTATTCTTTCTTTATATTTTCATCTATTATTCTTTCTTTAAATTTTCATCTTATTATTCTTTCTTTATATTTTCATCTATTATTCTTTGTTTTATAATTTCATCTATTATTCTTTCTTTATTTTGATCTACTATATTTTCTTTATATTTTCATTATTCTTTCTTTATATTTTCATCTATTCTTTTCTTTTATATTTTCATCTATTATTCTTTTCTTTTATAATTTGATCTATTATTCTTTTCTTTTATATTTTCATCTATTATTCTTTCTTTATAATTTCATCTATTATTCTTTTCTTTATATTTTCATCTATTATTCTTTCTTTATATTTTCATCTATTATTCTTTCTTTTATAATTTCATCTATTATTCTTTCTTTTATATTTTGATCTTTATTCTTTCTTTATATTTCATCTATTATTCTTTTCTTTATATTTTCATCTATTATTCTTTCTTTATACTTTCATCTATTATTCTTTCTTTTATAATTTCATCTATTATTCTTTCTTTATATTTAATATATTATTCTTTCTTTATATTTTCATCTATTATTCTTTCTTTTATATTTTCATTTATTATTCTTTCTTTATATTTTCATCTATTATTCTTTCTTTATACTTTCATCTATTATTCTTTCTTTATATTTTCATCTATTATTCTTTCTTTATATTTTCATCTATTATTCTTTCTTTTATAATTTCATTTATTATTCTTTCTTTATATTTTTTATTATTCTTTCTTTATACTTTCATCTATTATTCTTTCTTTATTTTTTCATCTATTATTCTTTCTTTATACTTTCATCTATTATTCTTTCTTTATATTTTTCATCTATTATTACAATTTTCTTTATTTTCATCTATTATTCTTTCTTTTATACTTTATCTATTATTCTTTCTTTATATTATTCTATTTTTCTTTTATACTTTCATCTATTATTCTTTCTTTTATAATTTCATCTATTATTCTTTCTTTATATTTTCATCTATTATTCTTTTCTTTATCTTTCATCTATTATTCTTTCTTTTTATTTCATCTATTATTCTTTCTTTATAATTTTTTCTACTATTCTTTCTTTATATTTTCATCTATTATTCTTTCTTTTTTTTTCATCTATTATTTTTCTTTATACTTTCATTTTTATTCTTTCTTTATAATTTATTCTATTCTTTCTTTATATTTTCATCTATTATTCTTTCTTTATACTTTCATCTATTATTCTTTCTTTTTTTATACTTTCATTTATTATTCTTTCTTTTATAATTTGATCTATTATTTTTTCTTTATATTTCATCTATTATTCTTTCTTTATATTTTCATCTATTATTCTTTTCTTTATACTTTCATCTATTATCTTTTCTTTATAATTTGATCTACTATTCTTTCTTTATATTTTCATCTATTATTCTTTCTTTTTATTTTCATCTATTATTCTTTTCATCTTTATTATTCTTTTCTTTATATTTTATACTATTCTTTCTTTTATTTCATCTTTATTCTTTCTTTATATTTTATCTACTATTCTTTTCTTTATACTTTCATTTATTATTCTTTCTTTATAATTTGATCTACTATTCTTTCTTTTATATTTATTTTTCTTTATCTATTATTCTTTCTTTATATTTTCATCTATTATTCTTTCTTTCTTTATATACTATTCTTTCATCTTTATTATTCTTTCTTTATACTTTCGTCTATTATGTTTTCTTTATAATTTGATCTATGATTCTTTCTTTATATTTTCATTTATTATTCTTTCTTTATAATTTGATCTATTATTCTTTCTTTATACTTTCATCTATTATTCTTTCTTTATATTTTCATCTATTATTCTTTCTTTATACTTTCGTCTATTATTCTTTCATTATACTTTCATCTATTATTCTTTCTTTATTTTTCATCTATTATTCTTTCTTTATACTTTCATCTATTATTCTTTTTTATATTTCATCTATTATTCTTTCTTTTATACTTTCATCTATTATTCTTTCTTTATATTTTCATCTATTATTCTTTATTTATAATTTCATCTACTATTCTTTCTTTATACTTTCATCTATTATTCTTTCTTTATACTTTCATCTATTATTCTTTCTTTATACTTTCATCTATTATTCTTTCTTTATACTTTCATCTATTATTCTTTCTTTATACTTTCATCTATTATTCTTTCTTTATATTTTCATCTATTATTCTTTTCTTTATACTTTCATCTATTATTCTTTCTTTATATTTTTCATCTATTATTCTTTCTTTATATTTTCATCTATTATTCTTTCTTTATATTTCTTTATATTCTTTTTCATTTCTTTATTATTATTCTTTCTTTATACTTTCATCTATTATTCTTTCTTTTTATATTTTTCTTCTATTTTATTCTTTCTTTATATTTTATCTATTATTCTTTCTTTATATTTTCATCTATTATTCTTTCTTTTTTTTTCATTTATTATTTTTTCTTTATAATTTGATCTATTATTCATTTTCTTTTCTTTATATTTTCATCTATTATTCTTTCTTTATAATTTCATTTATTATTCTTTCTTTATAATTTGATCTATTATTCTTTCTTTATATTTTTCATCTATTATTCTTTCTTTACTTTCTCATCTATTATTCTTTCTTTTCTTTCATCTATTTTCTTTCTTTATAATTTATCTACTATTCTTTCTTTTATAGTTTTCATCTATTATTCTTTCTTTATATTTTCATCTATTCTTTCTTTATAGTTTCATTTATTATTCTTTCTTTATAATTTGATCTACTATTCTTTCTTTATATTTTCATCTATTATTCTTTCTTTTCTTTTTCAATATTATTCTTTTCTTTTTTCATTTATTATTTTTCTTTATATTTCTCTTTTCTTTCTTTTATATTTTTTCTTATCTCTTTTATTTTGAATTATTCTTTGTCGATTTTTCATCTTTTTCATTTTCTAGTTCATTATACTATCATTCTTTTTCCTCCGTTTTCTTTCTTTCTTTCATTTATTCATCTGGTTTCTTTCTTTTTTCATTCGTTTGTTTTATTTTTTTTATTTTTTCTCTTTCATTCCTCTGTTCTCTTTTTCCTGAGTCTTGTTTAAACTCTTTCCTTTTCATTCATCCTTTATATTTTTCTTTCTTACTTTCTTTTTTCTCTTATTTTTCTTTCTTTCTTCATTCGTCTTTCGTCTTTCTTTTTTTTTTTCTTTATTTGTCATTCATCGTTTTTTTTTATTTATTTCTTTCTTTTTTTTTTTTCGTTTTTTCTTTCAAAGTTTTCTTTCTTTTTTTTTTCTTTCATGCATTTTTCATTCTTTTTATTTCTATTTTTTTTTTTTTTTTTTTTTTCATTCTTTTTTATCCTACATAATTTCTATTTTTTTCTTTCATGCATTTTTTCATTCTTTTATCCTTTGCATATCTTCTTTCTTCTTTTCTTTTTCATGTTTTACGTTCTTTCTTTCATCCGTTTTTCACATTTTTTTTCGTTCATCCAATTTTCTTTTTTACGTTTTCATCGTTTTTCATTCATCCGCTTTTTCTTTTTTTTTTTTTTTTTTCTTTTTTCGTCAATCATCTTTTTATTTCAGGAGTTTTTTTTTTTCTTTTTTTTTGTCATTTTCTCTCTTTTTTCTGTCATCACTTTTTCTTTCTTCTTTCGTATTTTCTTTCTTTGTTTCTTGCTCTTGTCTTTCTTTCTTTTTCCTTTTCCTTTTAGTCATCTTACAGGGGAGGGCATACTATGCAAGTATTGCTTTCTGATCAGCAAAATCATTTTGAGTTCGACCATCACAAATGCCTCAATCTTTTGGCCTTGTAGCAGACTATGCTAATCAATTGCTTCGCCATAAAGGAATGGTTAACAAGCTACACTTTATTATCTTAGTGAGTTGGTTGCCTATACTTTTACTCTGTACTTTTAAGCTAATTTTACTAATTAGGCCTTGGAACAGTGTTTATCAATGAGTTCAATCTAAATTGGGTAACCCTTAATGGTTTCTTTGTGCCGGAATGGCTATTCTTTTTCAGAAGATTCCCACTATATTTTCTGTTAAAATAAGTTTTCTATCTATTATTTAATTATTTTTTTTCCTCTTTGTTTTTCGTTTAGCATTTCGGATTTTTTTTCCTTCAAATCCCCCCCCCACACACACACACATACAAATTTTTGTATTCATCTATTTCTTTTGTGTGACATTTTCTTTGTTTTTTCTTGTTGTTTCTTTTGTTTGTTTGTTTGTTTGTTTTTTAATTTTTTGTTGCTGTTTCATTTATCGCAGATTTTTTCATGGTAAATGTTTCTTCAAACTTCAACTTTAATTATTTTCTCTTTCCAAGCGATTTATTTATTTTATCCAGTTTCAAGTTGCGTCTTTACCTATTGGCTTTCTCTCTCACTTTCTCACTATCTTACATTATCTCTCTCTCTTTTTCTTTCTCCCCCTCTTTCTCTCTTTCTCTTTCTCCTGCTCCTTACACTATATCTCCCAATCTTTCTTTCTCTTTATTTATTTTCATCTTTCTCAGTCTTTCTCTCACCCTCTCGACCGATTTTTATTTCATTTCTTCCATTAATCAGTCTCTGTCCCTCCCTCTCCATTTCTCCAATTCACTCACTTTATATCTTTTTCTTTACCAATCTCTCTCTCTCTCTCTCTCTCTCTCTGTCCCACCCTGTCTCTTTCTCTCTCTTAGTTTCACTCTCTTCATCCCACTCAGCCAATTTCTCTCTTGTTCTTTCTTTCTCTCACTCTTTTCCTCATCTCTCATCTCTATATTTTTTCTCTTTCTCCCATTTCCACCATTTTTCTGTTTTTTTTCCCTGTCTCGTTCACTGTATCACTCTTTTTATATATTTTCTCCCTTCATCTCGCTCTTTCTCTCTCTCTATATATATATATCTTTCTTGTGGCTCTCTTTTTTTCCACCATTCCGTCTCTCTCTCTCTCTTTCTTTATCATCATTAGCGTTTAGTTACATTCCTGCCTCTTTCTTTGTTAGTCCTACTATAGTTTGGTGTCAGTACTTTTACTCAATTCTTTTTAAGTAAGCCACTCTTAGCAACGGATTTACTATTTAAACATCTTCTATTTTCTACCTTTCTCTTCTAAGTGTCGATTTCACTGTTTCCATTCGACAATATTTCTTTATTTTTCTTTCTTACACTTTTTTTCTATCGCACTTTTCGTCTTTTTCCCATTAGCCAGTTTAGTTTCCTTCATTTTTACTTTCTTTGTTTTATTAAAATTATTTTCATTTATTTTTCATTCGTTTCTTTGTTTTATCTATGCCTAATACTTTTCACTCATACTCGGCCTACTATCTATCTATCTATCTATCTATCTATCTCAATCTTTTCATTATCTATCTATCTATCTATCTATCTATCTATCTATCTATCTATCTATCCCAATCGTTTCATTATCTATCTATCTATCTATCTATCTATCTATCCCAATCGTTTCATTATCTATCTATCTATCTATCTATCTATCTATCTATCCCAATCTTCTATCTATCTATCTATCCTAATCTTTTCATTATCTATCTATCTATCCCAATGTTTTCATTTTCTATCTATCTATCTATTTATTCTCCCTCCAAATTTTTTTGTTAATCGATCTTGAAGACACATGGCCCAGTGGATAAAAGCGTTGGCTGGATCCAGAGACTTGACCCAAAGAATCGTGAGTTCAATACCTAGCCACTGCAGTGGTGAACAAAAAATTTGGTTAAAAGGAAATAACTAAAACATGGCACGAGGAACTAGCACAAACTACCGCAGTGGGTTCAATTCGAAATCCCATTCACCTGAAGAAGACCGGAGTGTATAACAGCCGAAACATAGTGAATATGACGAAAAATATGAGAACAATAGTCCGAAGAATGTAAATAGTATAAATAATTACAATACCTCATCTCACGAATATAGGTAGATAAAGCATTATCTGTTTATCTTTCTACAAATATATATATTCAACATCAACAATTATCGTTCTCTCTCTATCTATCTATCTATCTATATATATATATATATGATATATGTGTGTGTGTGTGTGTGTGTGTGTGCAAAATAGAGAAGTTAGTTAATAAAATGAGGGCAAACGAAAGAATACCAGTATAGACGATGTTTTTTTTTTCTGGTGGAAATCATATAGTTAGCAAAACCGTTCTCTATCTGATTCCTCGGTGTGCGAAAATTTTGATAAAATGTTTTGAATCATATCGGTCCGTTGAAGAAGGACACAGGCGTGTCGGAAAATTCCGAACTTAAATCCTTTCTTTCCGTGCTTCATTTTTGTCATATGGTCAATAATTTATATTTAATAAATGTTTATCACACTGATTATATTGGTACGCTTTCTTTTTTCCATGTTTTATTAACTTACGTATCTATTTTGCATATTATAGAAGCACATGTGGACCCTTTTTTTCTAATTATATATATATATATATATATATAGAGAGAGAGAGAGAGATGATGATGATGATGACGATGATGCTAGCTATTCAATAGTTTATATTAATTATTTATAAAATGTATAAACAGATATATATATATATATAGTGAAATTTGACTTTGATACATACATATATATATATATATATATATATATATATGTATATATATATATATATATATATATATATATTATCAATATATATTCCCAAACTTTCATTACCTACCTACCTATCTATCTTCTATCTATCTATCTATATATATATATATATATATATATATATATATATATATATATATATATATATATACATATTGTCATCCACAGACTGTTTCGCTGTATCACAGTTCATCAGTGTGGCTAAACATCCGATTGCTTCAATCCGGGAATGAAACCCGACTGAATCGGCAACCGTCGGATATCATATATATATATATATATATATATATATATATATGATCCCTCGCTTTTTCTTCTACTGTATAGAAGTTTATTTTGTAGTGTACATCAAAAAAGAGAATGAAATTAAGAAAGAAGACAGAGAAAATGAATTTGCTACAGATAAAAAAAAATTTTTAAATAGAAAATAAAAAAAAATGAAATTTTTGAGGAAAAAGAAACTGAAAGATGAAAAGAAGAAAAGAATGAGGAAAGATAAAATGAAGAAAACTAGAAGGCGCATATGCAAGTTAAGAAGGAATTGTGGCGAAGGGTCGTAAAATGCCGGTAAGTGCGCCAACCGCCCAAACAAAACGCGTTCAACTGGCGAGTGATTCCAGTGGCTAGGTCGAGATAATGAGCACGGCAGAGTGGGACAGAAGTAGTTTAATTGGTCTTGTAGCCAGTCCCTTGGCAGATAAGGGGGAGATACACAAGTATCAGTTAGAAAATGAGAGCGTACTGCACGGATAGAGAAAAGCGGCAAAGAACGGCGCCATAATCTCGTAAAACCACGGCGAGAGTCCGCCGTGAATCTTCGATAATAACCATTCCCTAAAATAGTTTGACAGTTTAGACGATCCTAGTTATCAACATTCTTTATTTGGCTATGTATTCTAAGGAAACAGTAAAATTGTGAAAGAAAGTTACATTTCTCAGGATTATAAGCATATTCCTATTACAAACATTACCAGAATAAAATGCATACTGGAAATCATATCACCGTGTACTGCTTTCTGAGACGTTTTATGTGCCAAGTTCATTTAAGAACTGGGGGTATCATGGCTCTTCACAGCTTCCTTTTTTTTTCTTTTTTTGAACGGTAAGCAATTTTTTTCCTCTCACTATTTAGCCTAGTCCCTGTTTTTGTTGTCTATTTACTGATGCTCGTTAACTGATCACTGTTTCCCTTTCTCCTTCTCGCCATCATTATATCTTCTGAATGTCAAATTTTCCGGGCCATTTTCCACCTTATGTGCCCCAAATATTTCAACAGTCTCTACCTGACCCAAAGCAAAAGTGTAATCTTTTCCTTTAAACTTCCTCGTTCTTTACATGTTCCATCCATGTTATTCTCAGCATCCTTCTACAGAATCATCTCTGGTATTTACGTCTTCTATTCATCATGTATGAGACAATTATCCAGTATTCACTACCATATAGGAGGATTGATATTACTTCTTCTTTTCTTTTTTGTGTCGTTTCCTATCATGGCTCTCCACAATTTCCTATTCCTTCCAATTCCTTGTCCTGACTCGTTAGGCAGGTTATTCGATGTTGTCTTAGGCCCCACTTGCTTTCTCTATGCCCTGTAAGTTTGAAATTCTCCAAGACCTTCTTTCTTAATATGTCTCTTAGAAATTTCAACTCTTTTTCTGATTTTAAATAAAAGCGTCCATTTTGTTTCTATGTTCTCTGCATTATTCTACAGAACTACATTTTTATTGCCAAACGTCTTTGTCATCTGTTTGCAAATTATACAGGATTCATTGCTATATAACACGATTGATATTACACAACCGTTCTGATCTCTTTTCTTTGTTTCTAACGTCTCTTTCTCAGATTTGTTCCGAAGTCTTTCAACCTTCAATTTATAACCTTTGACAACTGTCGACGAATTTTAAAAAGACAAAATCATTTTATTACGGTATTTAATCAAGGCTGCTAAAAATTGAATTATTTCTTTCCACCGTGAATTAAATATCACACAGTTAAAAAAAAATGGATTCATGTAACGAATTATTTTGGTTTCCTCGTGTTTTCGTATTAGTATTATCTCGTATGTTTCACTAGAGATCAAATGAAATGCTTCAGCCACCTCTTTACTATTCTTGCCGATGTTAGCGATACGGTTGACAGAATGGCTTAGATTCTAACTTGATTTTCCATCTTTTACTTGTCTGTTTCTTCGAGACTGTTATCAGAATTCCAAGTATGATGAATAGATTCCGCACATTTTATAGATCTCTCTGACAATATTTTCCCAGCATTTTACTCTCTCTCTCTCTCTCTCTCTCTCTCTCTCTCTCTCTCAGTCTGAGTTACATTTTGCCGTCTGCGGAAACGGCCATTATCCATTTCTTTGGTTATGATGACTACCTTAAATTGAATGGTCATATCAGAATTTCAGATTCCCATGGCATTTTTTTTCTTTCTGTATTCTTGAAAGGTTTTGCATTTCTGCTCATACCTCTTGCCTGCATGGTCAAATCCAGGTTGTCTGCAGCAGTTTCAGTTGTTCAACGTTTCTACCCTGTCAATTTTCATAAACCTTCTGAGATAAATTGCTCTCATTAATAAAATGGTATTTTCCTTTCACAGATGATATTTATGTAGAATATCGAGTTTTGTCCAACTTGACTTTGCTCGTCTGTTTAGTATTACTATTAGTAGTAGCTGTAGTATTATTAGGGTTAGTCATAAATAATTTTTGTTTTTTTAAAGAAAGTAGCAAAGTAATATTACATTTTGTTCAATTATATATTCACCATTATTTACAAGGATTTATTTCCATGGGAGTAAATAACTTAGATTATAGCCTGGTTAATACTCCATACATTTTTTTTGTTTTTTTTGTAAGAAGAGTAGAAGTCTACCTCTTGTTTCCTGTTTAGGGTTGGGTTTCCGGTTCTTTAAACTCTGTTCTTCTGACATATCCGTCTGAAATCTGAAATTTAATTCAGTAATTATTACTATATTCCTCCTCCAAGAGGACTAGATAAGTTTGTGTATCGCCCGGTTCACACCCCTCCTCAGTCTTTTGAACAAGAGTAGAGATCTGTTCTTTGTTTCCTGCTTAGGATTGGATTTCCACTTCCTTCTAATGTCTATACTTCTAACGTCTCCGCCCGAACTCTGTAATTTTATTCATTAATTAAAACTTTACCTCTTCAAATATAGAATTACCTTTTTTTCTTTCCTTCATAACTCGAAGAACTTCACTTTTCCCCCTTTCTTACAGTAATACAAGTCAAGGCAATAATCCTCTGCTTTGAGTGTCTCCTGGGCCTTGTATTGGTTGAACATTAGAAAAAAAAAAGAAAAAGAATATCGATAGGCATTGAATAAAATTCCGAAGGTTTTGGTGCAAAAAAAAAAACCCTTTCGACGGAGTCTTGAATTTGGTTTTCACCAGAGAATGGTTTCCTCATCAACGCGTTTTGCAGCGATCGAAAAAGGTAATAATCGGTTGGCGCAAGGCCAGGGCAATATTACGGGCAGAGTAGAACAGACCAACCGAGAACAGAATAAGCTCGCTAGGTAGGTTATGAGCTGATTTCCTCGGCCACGCTTGCCTTAATTATGTCCTGGGAATGTCAAATTTTCCGAGCCCTCTAGAGATTTTATCTGTCTTGTTCTGATGCTAAATATGAGTGTCCTTTTTGTTTCCATTTTCTTTAAATCTTCGTCGCTATACACATGTTTAGCCCATGATATTCTCATCATCCTTCTGTAGAACCTCATTCCTGTTGCCTCAGATCTCTTCTTCATCTGTGCGGAGATTGTCTCGCATTTACTGCTATATGTGAGGCAATTCAATACTGTTTTCTTTGTTTTCCTTTTTCTTAATATTTTGCTTAGCTTTTAGGAGTCATCTTTCACTATCCCAATCCGCCTTCGAATTTCAGTGTCGTGCTTTCAGTCCTCTGTTAAAATACAATGCTAAACAAATTAAGATAAAAAAAAAAACGTTAATCAAAACTGTAGCAAATAACAGATCACTTGAGGACTACCAACAGCAGCAACAACTAAAATGGATAGCACATGTAACCCAAAGAGAAAATAATTATAAAATTAAGATACTGACATTCCACACTACTTTAAATAAAAGGTTAGGAAGGAAACAACCATCAGTAATGGAAAGAGCGATAACAGCTACTAGAATTCATAAACCTATTTTCTTTCAAAATTGTTTTAAGGAAAATATTATATAAATTTTAACCGAAAACTATACTGTCTTCTCGGTCAATGAATTTCGACCGTTTTCTTAGAAGGAAACGGTTAATGTTAGCCTTACCATTCTTTTCAGTGAGATATTCGCGAAAATCTATAAATTAAGATGGTGTCTATATTCTATGATCCGGAGATACGAAGCTTATAATGATCAAATGTTTTGTTTTTTTTTGTTTTTTTTTTTTCTTTCTTCGAGTCGTTTCTTTTTCTGATCAAAGTGAGGCAATGTTTAACCTTAGTCTTCTCTGCCTGCAAAAAAAGGTGTGTTAAAAAGACGGTTATTCCCTTGATACCGCGATTACTGTATATATATTTCACTCTCTCGACAATAATTATTTCAGTCAGTTATGTGTCATGCGTGATACACGATTAGGCGATCATATATCTTTCGAAACATGACTAACCAGGCAGATTTTTTTCCCGCAGAAGGTTGTCATTTCTTGTAGTCCAGTTGCCACCCAAGGCTATAGAACACGGTCTGTCCTGCTATTTACCCATAGGTGGAAAGAGAAGAAGATTCACACCTTTCCCGTAAGTGAATGTAACGGATTCGACTGGAATTCGAACTCGGCTCTCCGATTCCTCAATCCGATCCTCTATCCAATACGCCAGATTATAAAAAAAATATGGAGACCAAAGTACAAAGCAATATTTATTTATTTATTGTTTATCGGAGAAATAAATATGAAAAGAAATCTTTTTTATTCAAATATCGAAAAATTTATAAAAATCCACAAATATGTGAACCTACTATAATGGAATATTTATTATTTACCATTCTATAAATAAATATGAAAAATTTTATAAAAAAATATCTATGAACTATGGAAGAACAAAATCTAAATAAACATGATTTTACAAGACATCATAAATTTTCTTCTCAAA